GGGGGAGCATACCAATCATTTATGACATTGTCTGAATGAGTTCAGATGGACAAGGGTCCTGGCTCAAAGTTTTTCTGTTTTCATTGGTGTCATCTTTGTCACCATTGTCCTAGTTGACACCTCACTTCCTTGACAACATGTTAACTGTTGCTGAGCAAGCTCCAGCCACTCCTGATTCAGCTTGTTGGGTAGGCCTCATATTGCTGTCATACCCTGAAAACAGGGTTGCCATGACCATTTCTTTACAGCTGTGGCAGCACAAGGTCATGCTGGCAAATGGCCATCTCACGCTCGCCAGCATCTGGCTGTTGCCTCAAAACCGCTATGGTTGTCTGCACGTGGAACTTGGGCCTGTGGTCCACGAAAATTCCGAGGTTGTTTTTGGTACATACCACTGAGTTTTCGGGCCATTCATTAAGAACACCAGCTGTGGATTGGAGGCGCCGGTTTGTATTACCTTACATTTGAATGCGTTGAAAGATTGCTGTGGTCAAGTCCGGTCGACCAGTGTGCTCCGGCCACTTGACCATACAACAGGTCGATTTGTGAAGGAGACGCAGTCACGAGCCTCGGGACACAACACCACATTGTTATCATCTGTGAACATTTTCATCGCACGTAACACGTAAGCTGGTAAATCGTTTAAGGGGGGTGTTTTGCATTTGAAGATATGGAAGCAAGTATCATTGTGATGGCATAATCTTACTGATAACTACTGGTGTGTTGTTTAGTAAAAAAAACTGCTCACTACGCCATGATTTCTCTGTATAGTAAATATGATGCTCAAAGATCATTGCTTGATAAAGTCATCGCTCCTTACACAACATTTATTGAGAGCCAGTGGTAATAGGCTTATTTCTCAGAGACAAACAGGAGAATGGATATATATATATATATATATATATATATATATATATATATAATACAATAATGAATAATATATCTTAATATATAATAACAAGATTATATAATGAAAAGTATAATAATAATAAAAATCATAAAAGCCTTATTACGACGTCATGGATGCCGGGGTGACCTTGAAATAGTCCCCCCAAATTGTCTGCGCGTTTTCGCGGGCGTGTAGCTCAGAAACTAGAGGGGTTTAGATTTTAAGATGGATAGGGCTGTGAACTGCACCGAATCTGAACAATCTTCAAGATGGCTAGTTCAGTCAAAGCCCCATACAAATGTGGAACACTTCCTTTAACGAAAATGATGAACATTGTTGGTCTCAGCACCGATCGTTGAGGGTCTGTACTGAGACGCCGCTGCGGCGTCGGTCCGGTCACTTCGAGCCCTGACACTGCACTGGATGCCTCCGGTTCGTTAGGAAGCCCTGGTCCAGTGCAGGATATAACCTCTCAAACCCTCAGCATGGAGCTCGGAAAGCGGTCCGTTCAGAAGCGTGAATCGAATGTTGCCGGACCCCGCATTGCATGTCGGGTGTTTGCCGATGCACGCGGCATGAATGCTTGGCCCTCTATGGGAAGCATGCTGCCCAATTTCGTAACTGCACTGCGGTCTTAATATCATCTAAAGAAACGCAGTCTTTTCGCCCCCGCAAAGTTTTGGTCGCATGCCGTTCTTTAACACTCACCCTGATTCGCCGTTTTCATAACGCAGGCTGATAAGCGGGAGGAGGTCAGTGCGGCCCCCCTGCTGTTTCCAAGCTAAGAAAGTCAGAGCCTGGGGGAAAATATCAGTGGGTTAGTCTCAACGCGATCTCGCGATTAGTTATGGGCTTATGTTGCTAGACCAATAATTGGCAACATTATGTCTTTGTCACGGAATTCAAAAATCAAACATATTCACGAACAGCAGATGTATTCAACCATACATACCCATCTATACCAGGCCATGGTTCGTAGCGACAAAAAAACAAGCATACTTGTTTTTTGTTTGGTTTATGTATTTTGAGCATATATGTATGATGTATGACTCCGTCTACGTAACAACATCGGCCCGCGGAATCGTTAGTTTTTTAACATAAGCTTACAGTTTTGAACTTTGAATGTCACTGTTGCAAGTTGCGGAGTTGATGTGTCTCGGTGTTTGAGCTACGAAATCAATTCAGGTGACTGTATGCCATGTTTAACAGGCGTGCACGTCAGGCCGTGGTCGTGATCGAGGCCACCAGCCCCGGCAGTGCCGCTGAAACAGTGAGAAAGTGATCAACTTTGAAGGCCCAGCCTGGTGGTTACGCATTCTAAAAGCCAGTGTTTTCGAACTAGTCATATATTTGCATATGGTTATCTGTAGCAAGAACCACACTTATTGAACGTTTGTTAATGTCGGGTTATATTGAAACATTTAAATTGCAATCTCTTGGATGTGCTTGAACCTTCTGTAGCAATCAGGATTGAACACATCCAGGTTCCATGTCCTGTTAAATGGATTGCTCCGCATTTATCTGGGGATTTGAACTGGAATAGTTATCTTGAGGACCTTCCGATGCTGTTCAAAATCCTGCCTTTCTCGAGACTGAAGCCCCTGTAGTTTCTGAGCTAAACCCCCGCGAAAATGGGGAAAGGTGTATTAGGGGGAGTGTTTCAAAGTAACTTTGGCATTCATGACGTCATAGTAAGGTCATTCAAATCCTGCCGTTCCGTAATCCATGCGGCGATCAAGGCAAAAGAAAAATCGAAGCGTTCATGTCTGGCATTCGTGAGTGCGTTTTCCAGATATAACGGCCGTCCATTGGCTCGTAATCACTGTTGTGCAAGGCACAATGACTTAATCAAACCATGATGCATTGAGGACTATATTTACTAAACGGAGCATTGTACTGTCTATAGCAGGCTTTTCCACTTAAAGTATACCAGTATTTATAAGTGACCTTATTTCATCATATCTGATGCTTGGTTCAGTATCTTCAAATATGACCCGTTCCCTTTAACTTTATAACGGAACATGCCGCGATTGCGAAAAGCTACATGGCAGCGGTCGAAACCGGCCCGGATCCTGGTTGTTCGGCATCGCGGTGGCGTGAGGTTCCCACCAATCGCATCAGCAATATCGCGGGCATTGTCAGCACCGAATGATGCGGGGAGCGATGTCACGGTCACGGCCACGTGCTCGCGAGGGTGAACTGACCGACCCGTTTTTTTGGTTTTCGTTTGATTAAAGTGCTCCCACCTTTGGGGCATATTTCAAAAACATACTCCAGTGAAACCTCAGGACTAGTCTAATAACGGCACTGGATAGTGTCACTACAGCACCGTCAAGACGTGGTACAGATATCTATTTTGTTTATTTTCGCGCCCAAATTACGCGTGTCAGCGCTTAGTAAGAGCTTCCCCACACTCGCCACCACGGTCGTCTGACAGCCACCGTGCGCACCTCCGGTGCGAATAAAAGAACGCTTGTGATTGGCCCGGCGGGGATCATGTCATGCTCCCACTCCCAAAGCCGAAGTGCGCTGCGAAAAAAACGCTGTGGTAAACGCCAAAGGGGAGAAATCAGTCATACTATAACGTTTCGTTGAATTCGTGTGATGAAAGCTTCATGGTCTCATGCATTTTTGTCTAACTGAAGTGATGCAAACTTTCGTGACATGCATTACACAAACATTTTGACAAATGAGTGCGTTACAAACATTTCAGAACGCACACACTGGAAAAAGCAAGGCGAATTAAATGTTTTACCATCGAAGTGACGAGCAGGGAGTCGAATGAGGTTTCTCCGGCAGGGTCGGTTACTTCAAATCAAAGTTCATAATTGTCCAGATGGATTTCACGAAAACTAGTATTACCGATCAAATGGTACGCGTCTGATGTGACTAAATGAAAAGTCAAAAGAGGTGGGATGCTCCCTTTAAGGGTTGGTGTCAGATCTCGGCAGCAAGAGCAGATGGGACATAAAGCCGACTGCGTGATGTGTCTGTCGGTGTAGCTGTGACGTGGTGGGAGTGTCTGTCGGTGTAGCTGTGGCGTGGTGGGATTGTCTGTCGGTATAGCTGTGGCGTGGTGTGAGTGTCTGCCGGTATAGTTGTGGCGTGGTGTGAGTATCTGTCGGCGTAACTGTGGCATGGTGTGAGTGTCTGTCGGTATAGCTGTGGCGTGGTGTGAGCGTCTGTCGATGTAGCTGGGCGTGGTGTGAGTGTCTGTCGGTAATAGCTGTGGCGTGGTGTGAGTGTCTGTCGGTGCGGCTGTGGCGTGTGTGAGTGTCTGTCGAATGTAGCTGTGGTGTGTGTGTGAGTGTCTGTCGGTGCAGCTGTGGCGTGGTGTGGCTGCTGGTTGATTCTGGCGCCAGAACTTTAGCAAAATTTTCGCTTTTCTTTCGAATCGTATGTTTGTGTTTTAGCCCATTCAACCTCCCTGTTGGTTGTTAAGTATAAGTTTGCAGTTGTGCACCGTATGTAAACCTAAATGGATTCGTATGTTTTGTGTTACAGGCTACATAGAAGGCACATAGTGTTGCTCTCCGAAGTTCTGAATGAGAGTACTTTTAGCATGCATGGCTCTTGCAGCCATGCAATGTGAAAGCACTCGCGTCGATTGTAAGTGTGACGTACACTGAAGATCACAGGTTTGAGTTTCACCTCTGGCGCTGTCGATAATTGGGTTGCCCGAGCTAATCTTACCAGCAAGTACAATGAGACTGGGTAAGTATATATGGTTGAGACGTGTCATGAGTCATCAGTTAATGTTGCCAAAGCTTGTTGTGGTCATGGTCTAATTCATATTAAAGTGTGCGATTTGTTGTTTACTCATGCTCCGAATGGCTGTAGCAAAGGGCTCATCTTTCAACAAGGTAACGGTTTTGTAGTGATCGAACCGTCACCGAGTAATGCCCACATTCCCACCGTCAGCCGGCAGCCTCCCCGATCCCTGCCCGTTTCGCTTACATAACAAGGGACGGTCTTGTACGTGGTCATTACTTAAGACCTTTGCTTTTATGCTTTCGTTGGGTAACGGTTACCTTTAACGGGCATGTCAACGCATAGATTCTATGGGAAATGCTATTAGATCGTCATATTTCTTGCATCTAGAGCATCTGCATTGGGATCTAATCTGAATTGTGATTGTATGAATGTTTGTTGTGCCGTATAAAACGTTAAGGTTGTCGAATACTCTATTAGTTTACAACAACAACCTCAGCAATATTTTAGCCCCGTTTCGCACGTATTATTAATTTATGCGTCCATGCAGTCCTTTGTTGTGTAGAATGTCATCTTAAAGAATCACCTGCTCACCAGGTGGGATTTCCTTGAGGTGCAGACCAGCGGTGACTTCCCCGACACTGTTCAGGCCTACGCTGCTGGCCTGGCGGAAGCCAACGTCACCCGCCACATGATTGTCATGCACTGGAATGTGAGTATACTCTCCTAGCGCCACCGTCAGCTGTTGACCCGACGTGGTGCCAGCTATCCGCCTGGCATGTGGTGGTTGTCGAATGGGCTGATCGGCCGACAGCTACACGACCAGGGGTTCGGGACTTTGGACCACCTGTGATTTATTTTGGTTCACTCAAACTCGCCCGAGGGACCATCACGCTGGTAAGCAGCAAGATTTGTGTTGCGGCGGTGGACCGACGAGAGAGGTCACGACCCAGCAGACGCCTGTTGCGGCGGTAGATCGGCGAGGAGGGTCACGACCCAGAGCCTCGGCCATGTGGACGATGAGAAAACCTGAACTGATGGTGCTAGATGCCTTGGGGATCCACACAAATGGGTCAGATCAATGCATCTGAAAGTCCGTCCTCCGTGAAAGCCAAATGGGTTTGCCATGTTGAATGAACGCTCACTTATTTGTCTCGCGCTCACTGTCTCACAAATTGCATTGGCTGACCAAGAGTCTAGCCACCTCTGGCAATATCAGTCTACAAAAATAAATTGTAATGGCTTACAGCTATGCTCACTGACCAAAATACTTATAGAAAACCTACAACTATTTTTGCGCGAACTGCGGTGGTGGTGAGCCTGGTTAGACGCCCGTGTAGTTCCCACCGTCCAGTCTCGCTCGGCTTAGGGCGTGGCGTGTTTCGATCAAGACCGATCTCGAAAAAGCTGATGGCACTGGCCACTTCTTGGTCACATACTATCAAGACGTTTTCTGCTCGCCTACTGGCGCTGAGGGGGCCGACAGTGCCGGAACCGCTGACGATTTCCAGGCGGTGTATGTTCATATACCATACAATGTGGATTCGCATTTTTTATTAGCGTTGTTCGACAAAATCTGACATAAATTCCCAAAAACGTCAACAGCACCAAAGCCGTACGAGTGTCTGGTTTGTGCTCGGCTGCTCGTGACCGGCTGCACGCGTTGGCATGCATTTGCTAGTGCGATTGTCCATTTTCTCCCCCGTCAAACGGGTTTGACCTCACATTGCTGCGACGGCGAGATCTGTCGAGGTCTGGCTCCAGTCTGGACTTGCGATGTGCGTCCTTTCAAAATTGGTAAAGATCACGTTCATGCTAATGGAACGCGGAAACTTGCACGTTGTCCACATTGTGGTGCTGCACGAACATCAGGCTTGAGGGTAGATTCTGAAGAACAAAAAGCGTTCCGTATTGCTAAGAACCGCGCGAAGACGCGATGATTGGTTGCAGAACTGCTGGCTTGAAGGATGTGTGACGATCGGGGCGGGTCACTCAGGAGGAAAGTCGTCTTACTGTGCCAATAGCAGCCGCATGGACGGCAGCCGGTCTCGAAACCACGACATGTCGATTACAAACGAGATTCGACCTGCTTCTGTCACGGTCACTGCGTTTCCGTTTGTGGTTTTCAATCCGCCATTTGTGGTGTGGTTCGACACCAGGCAGTGACTCCTGCGTTGGCGCCGGCGAAGGCTGTCGTTAGGCGGCACAGGTGACGACGGGATGCTACATCACTGCGACAGCTGATTGTTCGTAAGCTGTCTTCGTAGGCAGTTGAGATTATCCTCCTCTTATTCAGCCTCTTTAAAATGTCACGCCTGCCTGGGTTTTACTGAACAAGACTTCATCGATAAGACAGTAGCTGTGCCATATTACTGGGAGAAAAACCGGGAGAATGGAGACATAGGTGCGTAGATATTACAGCAAAATGCTTTTATCGAAACGAATAGCTGATGCGAATGTCCACCTGTGCTATTCGTTTCGATAAGGACACATTACCGAAATATCAATGCATCTATGTCTCCATTCTCCTGGTTTTTCGCCGATGAATAAGGCCATTGCTGCTGTCTTATCTATGTGCATAATGTTCCTTGCAAATGCGCTTGACAACTTGACGAAGAAGACTTCACTATTGGTTTATTTCTTGAATACAGAGGTGGGCGATAGCGATCCGGGTTTTCAGCCCGCCGAGTGCGGGGCCAGTTGGGTGACACCTGAACTCCCGTGGCAATAGGGAAACGGTGCTTCGGTAGCGTTCTGGCCGTGGGAAGGGCGCAGCTGGACTACGTGTTTGCTCAACGGTGAGCCTGTGGGGTCTGCGAGGGGGGATGCACTGTGCACCATGGGACTGAGTCAGCTGAGGGTAGGTGTGGGACTTTGCACAGGCGCTCACCAAATGAGGAATTTACCTGGGTGCGTGACGCTGATTGATGGGTGAAGATATTTCAGGTTTGGGAAAGCTTATGTCATCACTTACTGGTGGCATTGTGGCAGTTCCTGTAGACGAGAACGAGAAATGCAGCTATTCTGGCTTCCTGAAAAATACTGGTCTTGTGTGCTGGAACGGGAAGGAATGGGACGGACGGGAAGGATATGGGACGGAAGTGCTGTTGGGCAACCACGTCCTGTGTCGCAATGTGTGCTCTTCGTGGCTGCTCGTGTTTCTTCTGTGACGGAAACAGCCGTTAGTAGCTAACATATTGTTATGCACTCGTGTTGGTATGCTTCTTACTGCAAAGCGCTCAGCATAAGTGCGACCTTGTGAGGCGTAGGCAATAACTGCTCCTCCAAATGACAGCTTCAAAACACTCCTGTGCATGCTTCCCAGTTGGTCATGCTGACGTCTGGTGCAGTTTCATCTGTACAAACCATTTATTTTGCGTGTTATCGACTGTTGCCTGCACCGCGTGGTGTGTGTGGATGTGGCCGGTGACAGACCTCCCATGACGGGGGTCACCGCTCGAGCGCCCTCCTCCCTCAGAACACGGTGTCTGTATTCGGTGTGTGTGGATGTGGCCGGTGACAGGCCTCCCATGACAGAGGTCACCGCTCGAGCGCCCTCCTCCCTCAGAACACGGTGTTTGGTTCGGTGTGTGTGTGTGGATTTGGCCGGTGACAGGCGTCCCATGACAGAGGTCACCGCTGGAGCGCCCTCCTCCCTCAGAACACGGTGTTCGAGTTTGGTGTGTATGTGGATTTGGCCGGTGACAGGCCTCCCATGGCGGGATCACCGCTCGAGCGCCCTCCTCCCTCAGAACACAGTGTCCGGGTACTGCCAGTGGCAGGGCCAGGAGATGTGCGACAAGCTCAACGGGTTCATCGAGGCCAATGACAAGTGGGTCCAGTCGATGGTGGAGCAGCACGGCGAGACAGATCCCTACTGGCACCAGGTGGGAACCGTCGTAAATGCCACACGCTCGTTCTTCTGCGCAAAATTCGTCTGCATGGAGTTCCAGAGTCCCTTTGTTTCGTTACGCCAACTAGCTGTGAGGCTCTGGCTTCGAGCACGCGCCACGGCGCCGCCGCGCGCCTGCCAACGGTTCGAACAGCAGCTGGTAGGCGGCGGCGCTGTTCTCGCGGACCGGCACCCTATGATGCGCCGCCAGATAACATGTGCACGACTCAGGCAGTGTGTTTTAACCGCTCTCTCAAGTGAGTGATGCATGCCTTTGGTTGACTGCGATGCACTGACAACAGCTCACTCAGGATTTTACATAAAACGAGTCAATCGGAAATGTACTGGCAACTACGCACCCCAAGATTGTACTGACAACGAAGTCACTCAAGATTGTACTGACAACGGACTCACTCAGGATTTTACGGTGGTAATCGCTGTTTTATGGACTGTGTGGTGGGTAGATTTAACTGTGTGTGTTTGTGTATGTTCTCATTGTTATTTTCCTTTTGTCGTGTGACAAAGGCGACGAAAGCCACTTTTGTGTGTATGCCCCAATAAATGGCATGGTATGCAGAGTAAATGTATAAATGGTAAATGATACGCGTGGTGCGCCATCGGTCACGCTACCGCCCCCCTCCCCCCTCCCCCCCCCCCCCCCCCCCGGAGGCTGCCAACTGCTGCGGTGACTGACGAGGACTGGCATGGCGCGCTATCGGTCACGTGACCGCCCCTCGGACGCTGCCAGCTGCCGTGATGACTGATGAGGACTTGAGAAGAGTGGCAGTAGACTCGGATGCCTGCATCTGCATCAATGTTTTGGGAAATTAATGTCGCGATAGCGACATTAATCTCTTTTAAATTAATTAAAAAGCGTTCTTCCTCGAAACGCTCCGTGGAGATCTAGGTTGGTTGAGTTTATAGCGTTTCTTTTTTTCGCGTCCACTTTTACTTCTATCAAGTCCACTTGTGTGACGCGCCTGCCATCCCACAGGTGGACCTGGTGAACCATCAGCTGAAAGGCTCTGAGGACGGCGTGGACCTGAAGCCGACCATTCAGGAGACCCTGGCGTCCGGCTCAGTGACCTGATCTTCGTCCCGTACGCCGTTATAGGTCATGTCCTGCTGCGACATCCACCCTGAGCGGGCCCCGCTCGGAGGGCCTGCCTCTGATGTCTCACTGCTCACTATCGGGCCGTTGTGTTTGGGTTCCTCATCGTCACGCTGTCGCAGCGTAGCTGTACCTGACGCTGCCTCAAAACACTGTAGAAGCAGTGCAGTCATGCGCTTGTCTTAATTTAGCGGTAAACATTGAGTCAGTCATTCTAGACGGGCGTTCTCGGTCCGGTGGCCCGGACAGTGACGTGCCGACTGCGGCGTGTACGCGGCGGGTGGCCCACCTCCCAGTCACCACCAAGATCGGACCAGCGCGTACCGCGGAACAGTGGCCGCCTGCTGTCACCCATGGGCAGCTGGGCGCTGCTTGTGTGTTGTCAGCGCTGGCATGCTTTGGCTCAACAGCCTGGACGTGAAGCAGCTGCACGCCATTGTGAAAATCCCCAACAGTCAGTGTTGTTGATTTGGACACAGCCAGCTCGCACCTGGTGGCACGTTCAGATGGGCGGCCGCGTCCGGTCCGGCCCTGGCAGCGGCTGCGGGAGCAGGGCTGGCGCTGACCTGGCCCGCGGTCCGCCCGTCACAGCTGGCTCAACCTGGCCGGCGACCTGGAGGACCTGGAGACGGCCCTGAAGGACCCGGCCGACCGGCCCGAGAACATCAAGGCCGACTTCGGCGGCCGCGTGCTGGGAGCCGGCCACTGTTCAGCGCTCATCAAGGTCCTGGCCGACGGCGAGGACCTGTACACATCCCAGGTCACCTGGAATACGTAAGCGTCTGTCCGGAATACCGACCTGGCTGCGTCACTGCTGAGGGAAACCTGTCGAATGAAACGGCTCGCCCAACAGGCTTTTGGATTTGACCCGTTGTCGTCATACACGCCACTAGGTGTGACCAATGGCCCTTTCGCGCAGATGGTCCGTTTGTTCTAGCGTGCTTGCTCTATTTATAAAGGCCTGCAGCTACCGAACCGATAATAACCGCTGTAACGGGGCCCCTCGGCTGCAGCGGGTGGGGTGGGCGAGACGTGCATCACACTATTAAGCCTAACGAGACGTGCATCACGCTGTCGAGTCTGACGCGCACGGCTCCAACTAGAGTTGCACACACACTCACACCCCATGCCCTTCCACCCCAGCCACTGTCCCATCCCCGCCTCGCGCCATCGGAAGCTAACCGTATCGCTGCGGCCGAGTGGCTGACATGGCGCGCCGCTCCAGGTACCAGAGCATGCTGCGGATTCAGAAGCGGTACGTGTTCGGGTACGGTCAGACGGGCGGCGCTGACAAGGCGGCCATCGCCGGCCGCGTCTCGTCGTTCTCCTCGTACCCGGGCACCATCACCTCGCAGGTGAGCCGCCGGCCAGCTCAGGTCGCCGCGCTCGGCGGCGCTGCCTGCCACTCGGCTGCGTCGCCAGCGCAGGCTGACCGGGGAGCCCCTGCCGGCCCGATGCCTGTGTGTGCTCTTGAGTGAGCTGTGGATGAGTCAGGCGCGAAGAGGTACTACCGAGACTCAGCCTGGCTGGCGAACGAATAGCAAAGGCTGACCGGGGAGCCCACTGCCGGCACCGATGCCCGTGTGTGCTCTCGAGTGAGCTGTGCTGCGTCAGGCGCGGGGAGGTACTTACCGAGACTCAGCCTGGCGGGCGACGAATAGCAAGGCGATGAAAGCAATGTGTTCCGTGCTCCGTTAGGACGACTTCTACGTGCTGTCATCGGGTCTGGTCACCCGGAGAACGACCATCGGCAACAACAACAACGACCTGTGGCACTTCATCAAGCCGGAGGGACAGGTGAGCGATGCTCTGCTGCTTCTGCAAAAACACCGGTCCTCTGCTCGTGTCCTCTGATCGGTTTTAGAGACTTTGCATCTGTGTTGTCGATCTTTTGTGCATTGTTTAAGTTAAAGAGGGCCGTAAATACTGCCGTTCGGATAGTCAAACGAGGTAGTCTGGACGTATTGACCTGCGTGCACAACTGCTCCGGGGTCCCTAAACGAGTGTCGGCCTAGCGATTGGGGACATGGGTGTATAACTCGATAGGTCGGTGGCCGGCCGCAGCCAAAGGCCACGTCCGCGACCGTATGCCAACGCGACGGGAGAGCGGAATGGAATGCCGGGAGGGGGGGGGGGGGGGAGGTCGCAGGTGGTGACCGGTCGCCACCGCCTGCCGCCAGGTGTTGGAGTGGGTCCGCGCCGCGGTGGCCAACAACCTGGCCACCGACGGCCAGGAGTGGACGTCCACCTTCTCGCGTTACAACAGCGGCACCTACAACAACCAGTGGATGGTGGTCGACTACAAACGCTTCAAGCGGGGAGACACAAGCCTGAGGCCGGGCGTGCTGTGGGTGCTGGAGCAGATCCCAGGCCACATCATGGCCGACGACGTCACCCACGTGCTGCAGCGGCAGCAGCAGTACTGGCCCAGCTACAACAGTCCCCTTCTTCCCCGCCATCTTCAACATGTCTGCAACCCGGCGCTGGTGGCCAAGTTCGGCGACTGGTTCAGCTACGAGCGCACGCCACGGGCGCTGATCTTCCGCCGCGACCAGGCGGCCGTCACAGACGTCGGTGGCATGATGCGCCTGATGCGCTACAACGACTTCAAGCACGACCCGCTGTCGGCCTGCGACTGCCAGCCGCCGTACTCGGCCGAGAACGGCATCTCGGCCCGCTGCGACCTGAACCCGGCCGACGGCACCTACCCGTTCGGCGCGCTGGGGCACCGCTCGCACGGCGCCACCGATATGAAGCTGACTACCACTAAGCTGGTGAGTGGCGCGACGAGCCGGCTGTGCACGGGGCTGGGGTCCGCACCCGCCGCCAATGGCATGCACCCGCCGTCGGTGGCACGCACCCGCCGTCGGTGGCACGCACCCGCCGCCGATGGCACGCACCTGCCACCGGCGTCACGCACCCGCCGCCGATGCCACGCACCCGCCGCCGATGGCACGCACCCGCCGCCAATGGCACGCACCCGCCGCTGCGTCAGATGGGCCCAGGCTGTGACGGCTCTCGAGCGAGGATTTCTCCCCCCGATGGCTGGTTTGGCGGCTGTGTGGTCACTGGCGGGGCTCGGATTCGGTGCCGCTTTTTAAGCCTTGACGTGGGATCGAGACGGAGCGAGATGAGTCCGCGTCGCCGCGCCTATAGGTCAGCCTATGGGGCGAGGTCGGCGGGGTGATCTGACCTGGCAAATCGGCCTGATCTCTCGTTGCGCATGCGCCGAGGGTGCGGTCTACGTCGCACGCCTGCTCAGAGAGCTGTCTTATGAATCTAGTTGTTCGTTCCTTCCTTCATTTTGCAGCTATTGTAAGGAGCGTCGAGGCCGAGACCGGGATGTCTGGGTCACGTCATTTGGACTATATTAAGTCCGAAATCCCGCTATTTCGCCTCGCTATCCTCCTATTCAACAATGTCTGAGCGTGGCATCAACGCAATATGACCAGTGCTGCAGGGTGCGTGGTCGCTGCTCCGGTACAACATGGCCGGTGCTGCTGGGTGCGTGGCCGCTGTTCCGGTACAATATGACCGATGCTGCTGGGTGCGTGGTCGCTGCTCCGGTACATATAACCGATGCTGCTGGTGCGTGGTCGCTGCTCCGGTACAATATGACCGGTGCTGCTGGGTGCGTGGTCGCTGTTCCGGTGCAACATGACCGGTGCTGCTCGTGGTCGCTGCTCCGGTGCAATATGGCTGGTGCTGCTGGGTACGTAGTTGCGGCTCCGGTACAATATGACCGGTGCTGCTGGGTGCGTGGTCGCTGCTACGGTACAACGTGACCGGTGCTGCTGGGTGCGTGGTCGCTGCTCCGGTACAATATGACCGGCGCTGCTGGGTGCGTGGTCGCTGCTCTGGTACCGGCGATGCCGTCTCGCCATTGTGCTGAGCCACACTGATTGTGGTTGATAACCAAAAGCGTAAGACGGCACCGTCGATGATGAATTATTTTGTTCGTTGCCTGTCTGGACAGTTGCTGGCGCCCTCTTGAGGAAGGCCATGACCGTCGCTGTTGTTGTGCCGTTGTTGTTTGGCGATGTGGGGCACAGGCTTTCCTATGTGCTTGGTTGTTGCTTCTGTCGCTCGTCTCTGCACCCTGCGCATCTCAGATTGCGTACTCGGCAGGAGACCCTCTGCACATTCTCGCTATACAGGCCCATTCAAAGCGCCCCCCCCCCCCCCCCCCATCCTACCCGCCCAGTTACGCCAGGCGGAGCTGGACGGAGGGGCCTATAGAAAATAATTGTATGTTTAATCCTATGTCCTTCAGAACTCCCACCTGACAAACATGAAATCGCAGTTTTATAAAGCCTCAACAGATGGCTCGCAGCATCGACCAGTTGGTTAGGCGCCAAACATTTAGCAAAGGCTCGTCGGCAAAGTTAGCTGCTGCGGTGCCGTTCCCAGCGTTCTTTCGTGTTAAGTTGACTACACTGCACGGAGATCGCAGCCAATCCAGGCCTTCAATTGAACAGAAGCCATGCCCAGTGACACGGTTTTGGCAGGTGGCACGATCCATCAGCGGGGGTGTCGCGCTAACGGTCGTCGGGTCTTGCAGGTACCTGGCATGGAGTTCATCTCCATCGCCGGCCCCACCTACGACCAGCAGCCGCCGTTCCAGTGGAGCAAGGCGGACTTCGCCGCCACTACGGCCGCACCAGGGTCACCCAGATCTGTTCAAGTTCGAGCCGATTCAGTGGCGCTGGCAGTGGAAGTAACTGGCGGCACAGACGCCACCGGTGCCGTGAGGCTGCAGAATTTCACCTCCAATCGGCATCAAATCGACGGGTGCCATGCTAATCCTCAGATACTGTACTTAAGCACATGACAGAATGGGCTTTCGTGATGTGCCAAGCATTTATACTCTTGAAAAACGATGGGATACGCGAGCTTATAGGGATCTAGTACAATTATGTGGGTATGTTGCTAATGGATTCACCGGGTACTCGATTGCGTAAGGGCTGTGTAATTTTTGACGAATATTTACCTGAGCTTAATGCACGGGCTCGAGTGTATCGCGTAGCACAGATTGTAACGCGATTAATCGTGTATAATCAGCGGAATCAGTCGGACGTTCAATACAACGAATCATGTGAGCAGCGTTTTGAAGTCGTTCTCGATGGCTTTCCACGGGTCGTAGCTCAGCAGCAGGTCGGTGCTGTCGACGTCCTCGGCGCCGATCCGGTGCGAGCAGAGCGCCGGCCTTCGCCCGAGGGGCTCGCCGGCGGCACTGGCCGCCGACAGGTGGCCGCATGAGCGGGCCGGCGCGGCACCGGGCGGCGGCGGGCTGGCCAGCGGCCGGTACGGCCGGTCCACGCTGTGCAGGGACAGCTGCCCTGGACTGTCCCATTGGGAGCGGCTGCTGGAGCAGGCCGAGCGCGGCGAGCTGCCGCCGACTAGCCCCTGCTGCCGCTCCCAGCTGCGCTGCGTCACGCCCTCGTCGGCCGCCGCCGCCGCCGCTCCTGTGTACTGCCGGATCCGACCGCTGAGCTCGCCGGCGCTGGGCGGCGCGCTGCTGGCGCAATGGCGCGGCTCCAGCTCGCTGGCGCTCGGCACCGACAGCTGGGCGCCGGGCGCCGTGTCGCCGTACGGCTGGGTCCGCTCCCCGAGCTCGGCGTCGGCGCGCTGCGTGATGCGGTCGCTCAGCTCGGCGCGTCGGAAAAACTCAGCCATCTGGCTGAGCAACCGGTTCGACTCGGTCAACGTGTTCAGGATGCATCGCGAGGTGCCAGGCGCGCGCGGCGAGCGCGGACGGCCAGGCGGCGGCGGTGGGCAGGCGGCGTCCGTCTGCACGGCCGCCTCCGCCGCGGCGCCGGCCAGCCGCGGGGTCGTCTGACACGCAGTGCTGCTGGTGCCGGCTGGTCCGGACCTAGCCGTCTCGGCGGCGGCGAGCCTCGGCTGACCGTCGCCGCTGTGCGCCGGCCGTGGCGGCCCGAACATCTCCTCCAGCACGCGGCGCACGAGTCCGGCGGCGGCGTCAACGTCGCGCGGCGCCTGGAGCTGAGTGTCGCGCCGTTCGGGTGAGGTGGTGCTGGAGGAGCCGGCATGCCGCTCCGGCTGACCGTCGGCGGCCCGCTGTCGGCGCCGTGGCCGTGACCGGTGCACCTGGCGTAGCCTCTGGGCGTCGAAGACGAACTCCTGCGCCGGCTCGTCGGAGGGGTTCGAGTCTTGCGCGGACGCCACGTGGTGCGGGTGGGACGACACGTTGATGCGGATCTTGCGCCGCACGGGCGGCTGGAGCACTTCGATTACGCGCGGCGGCTCCTCCTGCTGGCGACAGCACTTCTCCACGATCTCGGGCAGCTTCGCGATAAGCCATTTGTTGTAGTCGCTGGCTTCCCCGTCGGCCATGTCGATGTGCAGCTCCTCCGATACCTCTCGGTCGTCGGTGTCGGCGGGGCCGCGCGCCGACGCTGTCCGCGCGGCTCTGTGGGCCTCGGGCGCCGGTCCCACGGTCAGACTCCGACCGGGAAGCAGCTGGCGGATCTGCGAGGCCGCCTCGCCACCACGCCGGAGCCGCCGGCGCGGCCGCTTACTCATGTAGGGGCTGACACTGCCACTCTTCATGGAAACGGGTTGGCTGCTTGCTGTAAGTGCCTCGGGGTAGCGATAGATGAAGTCCCGCCGGTAGGTGGTTTGGTACGTCTCATCCGCGTCCCGAACCCTCGCTGCCATTCAGCGCAAGTTCAAATTAAGAATGCAAGCTCATCGTTTGATTTGTAGACCATCTGGCAGTACAAGGTATCTACGCAGCCACACATTAAATTTCTGGTCTATCGCGAGGTAGAGGAGCTGCCAATTGTTGGAAGTGGTACAACCTGCCCAAGGTCAAATGAATAAGGCGCTGCTCTGAGGTTATAGGCGGTTGCTGTCTGCGTCAATGCACCGAGCCGAAAAGCCCACGAGGCATATCTGGGCTTCTTAACGTGTTTCACGTTTAAGCCTATTTACGTCGGGTTTTTCGCAGCCTCGTGACTCTATTCCTGACCCTCCGCCCGCGTGGTAAGCCAACTAGTATCGATTTGTCGCCTGCGTCGTTGGCGTCGTAGGTCACTGATCTCGGCCAGTCACAGGTCGCGCCGCTACCGCTCGACGGCGTCAGAGGCGGGGAAGCGCAGCCGACGAGAAAAGATGCCTCAGCAAATCCACGTGATGTGGGGACCGGGCCAGCCGCCAAGCTCTCTCAGTCGGATATATGGATTGGGATCAGAGCCACCCTGTTTTGTGAAGTTGGTAGCTATACCGTTTTCAGCAATGGTAATGTGAGCTTCAGACCTGTATCACATCGATTTTGTATTCAAGCAATTCCCACTGCTTCTGTGGGAACGTCTTCGTCGATACGAAATCTGGTTTGCACAGTCAAACAACACAATCAATTGAACAATAGAGCAATTCATAACGCACCACGATGTGCGATGACGGGTATGGCGGGATGTACACGTGCAACAGTTGAAACATACCTGGGTGACATGAAGACAGTAGAATGAACCTATCGCGATTGTCTCCTGCAACAGCTTTCGGATTTCTAGATGAACATCCTGATTCCTCACACGTCTTACCATACTTAACATACCTTACCTTACATACCTTCTTACCTCACTTCTCACATCGCGCTAAAAATGCATATTTATTTCCGCAGCGATCTATTTCAGTGAAAGGTCATCATCCTCGGCAAAAAACCTGCGAATCACCACGACTATTGTTTGTGTTCATTTGTTGATTTAGCACATGGACATTCCGCAGTCAATATTTAGGACATAAACATTCCACAGTCAAAAACCCAATTACAGAAGCGGTCCAGTTTTAGAAACAATAAACATACGACGCACTCAAACGAAAAAACCTAACCAAACACCACACACACACACACACACACACACACCACACACACACACACACACACCACACACGCACCGCACGCACGCCACGCACGCACGCACGCACACACCACGCACGCACGCACGCACCACACACGCACGCACGCACGCACGCCACACACACACACACACACACGCACGTAGGCACGCACCGCACGCACGCACATCACCACACACACACACAACACACACACACACACGCACGCACGCACCACGCACCA